GCCAACAACAGGTCCTGGGCACCCTGGTGACCAAGGGGCTGCACCGCCTGTACATCGTGGACGACAACGGCGCCGCGATCTCCATCATCACGCTGACAGGTGACCCGTGCGCCGGACGCATCGCTGCAGGGTGCTGCTGGCCCGCCCAGCGAGCCGCCCTCCCCCTCCCCGTCCCCCCACCCCCGCCGCGGTCCAGCCAGCCGAGCTGCCTGGCGCGGCAGCGCCGCCCCGTCACCTTGTGTGCAACACGGCCCTCTCCCCCCCAAACACACACACACACACTCACATACACACACACACACTTACGCACACACTCCTTACCGACCTCCCCTGCTGCACCCACCTGCAGACGTGCTGCGCCTCGTCACCAGGCCGTGAGCCCGCCCCCTCGGCTTCCAGTCCAGATCTGCACCCCCTCGCGGCCGTCTGGACAGCCCCCCCCCCTCCACCTCACCCCAACACTTTGAAAAGGACAAAACCAGCCCATCGGCGTAGGGGGCCACAGCATGCAAGCGGCAGCGGCTGCAGCGTGGTGGGCGCCGCCCTGGCAAGCGCGGGCAGGCCGTGAGGACGGGACAGGTCGGGCGGCCGCCTGCGGCGCGAGCGCGGCGCGGCGCTTTACACGCTGCCAAGCCCTGCCTGCAGCTGTTGCGCGCGTCCATGCCGCCTGGGGCAGCCGTCGCTAATTGGATTGCCAAGGCCAAGGCTGCGCTGTTGACACCCGGCCGTGCTGCATTTGCCTCGCTCCGACAATTTTGAAGCTCAGACTGCCCGCTACGTTTTTGGTTACACGCACCTCGCTCCCATGCTATTCACAGTAACGCTCCATAGTCATGCTGACCGTAGGACTGGTGATGCATCGCCCGGCAGCCAAGAGTGTGCGCGATTCAAGGGCAGCGGCCTGGCTGCCAGTGGCTCGGTCAGGCTGTCAGCTGCGACGGTCCCTTAGGGGTTGAGGGCCGACGGTCGATAAGTTGGAGGAAGCTGGAAGAGAAGGGCTGGGGGTCGCGCCAGCGGCAGAGCCATTATTACTGCGGGAGGCACGAGCAAACCAGGCTACACTGCCCGCGTGCAGGGCGACGCTGCGCCCGATGTTTGGGACGCACGGTTGCGCTGGCTGAGGGGCGGGGGAGATTGCGCAGCGGGCGCTGCCATAGAAAAGGGGCCAGAACGCCTATGTACGAGAGCTGGCAAGGTGGCCAGGGGCTCAGGGCCAAGCGCCCTTCCTGCGGCATGGGTGGGGGCCTTGAAGCCGCGACTTGCCGTGCGGCGTGCGACAAAGCAAACAGCGAGCCAACGAGCGCGTACACACTTATGACAGCACCAATGCCTGCTCATGCATCAAGAGGATGTTTGTGATTTGGGTTGAACAAAACCCAAATCTGTATGCATGTGTGGCTAACCAATGCTGGAGGCCCGCAACTCAGTGCAAAACAAACACCCATGTCAGATCATCAAAAACCGAGTCATCAACTGCATGTACGAGCTCAGCAGGGGGCACGGCCAGGGCCAGGAGGCTGGCGGGCACCAGGTCAGGCGTCTGAGGGACGAGAGCCTCTAGATGCCAGCGCGCGGTGCGCGTGCTGCACGCGTTGCACGTGCTGCATTTGCTGCATGTGCTACGTTGGCTGAACGTGATGCGCGTGCTGTGTGCGGTGCATGTGCTGCGCGTGCTGCATGGCGGATGTCGCATCTGCGCGGCGGGCGCATGCACAGACACGCACTGCTTACACCCCATGATGGCGCAAAGCACAATGGCGGGCGGCGCTGATCCCTCATCAGCGGGCGGGAGCACAAAACATGCGTGCAGCCCGCCAAGAGCGGTTGTGTCAGCGGGGTGCGCCGCTTTTATACATTTACGCATGCGTGGCGGCAGATGCCTGTTGGTTGCAAAGTGGAGGACTGCGTTGGGCGAAACGGCTGCCTTATCTGGCAAATTCGCAAGGGGGACGGGTGTGACAAGCGCAGGGACAGCCGATGGATGGGTGTGGGCAGCAGGTGGCGGCCGCGCGACAGATGAATGTGCAAGCGCAGCCCCTCAAGGGGACACTCGTTGCGCCGGACCCCCGCAGGCAGCTGCGCTCGCGCGGCGCGCCCGCGGCAGAGGCGGGCAGGACAGGCTGGGTTGCAGGTTCCGACAATTGGCATGCGTTGGCGCAGCAACCTCCCTCAGCCGGTAAAACAGCAAGCGGCGACGACAGGGAACACACGGATATCGTGGCGGCAAGCTTATTGGAAGGTCAAGCAATGCGGCCACCAGTTTTGGGGGCGAGCGGTTTGCACAAGCGCCGGCCGGCGCGGTGGCCTTGATAAGACAATCACACGCGTGGCCAGGTTGGCGGCCGTCGCGCTGGGCCGTTCGACCCTGGCCGTAACGAGCGGCGACAGGCGCAAACCACCACCAGTGCGGCCCTGACTAAGCGCAGCGGCTGTCCACTGTTCTGGGGCAGGCCCTCCCTTGGAGCAGGGAAGCAAAGCGCGGCGCAGCAGCTTGCACCAGCACTTGATGCGTTTGGGCAAGACTTTCAGTTGCCAACGTGCATACATGCTTGTGGGCCGCATTGTGTCAACAATTGACCAGAACCGCATCACAACAACACAGAGACGATGCCTTGGGGCTGCCGTCACGCCGAATCGGCCGGCAACGTGAGGCAACGGCCTGTGAGGGGCCAAAACTGCAGCGCTGCACCAGGGCGGAGGGGCCAAGATGGGCGCAACACCGCCAGCGCTGATGAGGCGCTGAACTGCGGCCCGCCACAACTGGCGGCAGGATGGCAGGGGGCCACAGCAGGCAGGGCTGCCTCATGGGGCACTACACATGACGTATTCAAAGTTGGGATCAATGTTGGGATCAATAAAGGTGGCGGCCGAGGCTAGCTTGCGATGCCATGCATCATATCATCGGGCCGGCGTCACCGGGCCGCCGTCGCCGGCGGTCACCAGGCGGGCCAATTCGTCCTGACCAGCCGCATGCCCCCCTGCCCCTGCATGCAGCCTGCCAGCGGCCCGCCCGCGTCCACCCGCGGCGATGCGTCCCACATCGTCAAGCCATCGTCGCTGTCGTTGCCATCGCCGCACTCCCCGGCACGGCCCGAGCCCACGCCGCAGCCCAACCCGCGCACGGCCCCCCCGCCGGCGGCGCTCGGGCGCAGCCGGAACGCCCCCTGCGCGTCGCCGCGGCAGGCCGCGGCGCGCGCCGGAGCCGCGCCACGTGCGTAGACAGCGTCGGCGTCCCACGGCAAAGCGTGGGGGTCTGGCAGCGCCTCAAATCTGCAGCGCGGCAGCGCGCGCGCCACCGCGCTTTGCAGCCGCTTCAACGCCTCGACGGCGCCGACGCCGAGGCCAACCTGCAGCAGCGCCAGCCGCCGCAGCCGCGTCACCACGGTCAAGCCGGAGGCGAAGGATGACGGGAACTCGGGGGCGGTGATCAAGGTGAGGCGGCGCAGGTTAGTCATCGAGGCGATCGCGGCACGGGTACGGCGGTTGAGCGCGCGCTCGGGTGCCTGGATCTGCGGGGTTTAGGGGAAGAGCGTGTGAGAGGTGGAAGGGGGGTGTAAAAGGAGGGGATGCAGTGTGAAAATAGACCGAGGAGGGGGGGGGAGACAGTGGTTGGGTAGCCGGGACGCAGGTTGCAAGAGGGAGGCGGGGGCAAACGGGATCGCGTAGGCCGCAGCAGCCCCCAATGTAGGCCGGCGCCTCGCGGGCGACGGTGCGGCCTGCTGCTGCTCGAAGGTCGCTGAGCCTTGGCAATAGCAGCAGCGGCCAGGCACGCACCCGAACTTGCGCTCACCCTCCCCTTACTTGCCCCCACCCAAACCAGCCCCCACGCAAACCAGCCC